AGGTCTCCCCAGCGGTCTCTTCCCCTCAGGCTTCCCAACCAATACCCGGTGCACACCTCTTGTCCCATCCATTCGTGCTACATGACCTGCCTATCTAATTCTTCTCGACTTAATTACCATAGAGGAGATACTGACCACCAAAATAGAAAGCAAATGAAATGGTACAATTTACAAAAGAAAATGTTTACATACAAAGAAGGCATGAGAAAAGTCATTCTTGAAAGATTAAGAGTCATTATGAGGAACACACAGCTTGAGACTTCGTACAAGTTTCATTTTGGAAATAAGTAACAGGCAAAGGTCCAAACCTGCTCCTGGTGGGTTTAAAGTACTGATGACCTTCGGTGAACCGCGGCTGCGCCGTCACGGAGCGGACTGGTGCATGCCCAGATTCCTCTGACTGGTCGTCAGAATCACTACTGCTGCTGCTACTACTACTGTTATCATCATTCGTGGATGAATTATCTATATCTGGATTATTGCCGGTATCGCTGGTCACTTCGGCAGCTGACATCTGTTTCCTTAAAGGTGGACGTCCACACGTCGTAGCTGGTCTGTTAGTAATGCTATTTGTGCCACTGCTGGCACTACTATTATTCCTTGAAGAAGCACCTAAAATGAATAGAGAAATATTTTCAAATAAATCTATTATTACGCTTATTTTTTAAAACAATAGAAAAACTAATCACATGTAGAACTTGAGGTTCTCATGGTTGTACCCATTCGCCCTCGGTAGACTAGCGATTAGCGTGCTTGCCACTGGACCCAAGGTTCGCGGGTTCAAACCCGACCGCAGACGATGGATTTTTAAGGGTGATAAAAATCTGTAGCACAACTTCCTTCGGAGGGGAAGTAAAGTTGGTGGCCCCATGTCGAAGATTTACATGTAACCGAACCTTACGAGCATGATACAAGATGTTTCGCAAAGCAAAATTCAGTGGCCATTTCTCACCCAAGTCTCTCCTGATTCACTACTAGATGGCTCTGGCAGTCAATTGTGCAGAGTCAGTGGGCTGGTCACTCACTACTCACAAACGCACACATCAAAAGACAAAGGAAACCACCGAAAGGAGGCCCTATGCTCTAGAAAAGAGCGACAGGAAATAAAGAAAGAAGAATGGTTGTACAAAGATGGATCTCTTCTTGGTTGTAGCCAATGTAGTTTGGTAGAAGTTTACCAGTGTTTCTGAGGTCAATGGTCTGTTAATAAAGGCAAGGACCTCTGAAGCACTGGTAAACGTCAGACCACAAGGCATTGAAACCCAGAAGACAACCATCTTTGAAATGATGGCATGTTTGCAAAATGGTTCTGTTTTTGCCCACAAAAAAACCTGAGCGAGTTCCAAGCTACAACCATCCTCTGAGATGAATGGCGATTGAAAGTCTTTTGAATGAGAGTTGTTGCCTTGTCCAAAAACATCAGCTTTGTACTTCAGGAACAGTACAGAAATGCAAAGACAGATTGGACTTTTTATTCTTAGACAGGATTGGCTATAGGATGCACAAGGGTCAGCTTCCTACTAAACTGTGGGCAATTTCCCCCAGGGTAAAGAGACAACAGATGAAGCCTCACCCCCTTCTAGAACAGAGTTTAGAATGAATGAAGCTTTACTTCCATGTCTCATACAAATTTTTATTGTATTGTGTTTACGCACACTGGAAACTTCACCTTTTACATTATTAAATGTAAGTACTTAGACAAGTGTTATTCTGAAACGTTAAATCACAATTCGAATTATATGAAAAAGTTAGAGTATGTGTAGATTATGAAATGCTCCTGCTTGTGACATATATTTTGACATAAGAAAATGAAATATGCCATGAGAATTAGCCGACATAACTCAGTTAGTATAGCGACTGGCTATGGACTGGATGACTAGGGTTCGATCCCCGACGGGGGGCAGAGGATTTTTCCTCTAGCCTCTGCGTCCAGACAGGTTCTGGGGCCCAACCAGCCTCCTATCCAATGGGTACCACAGTCTTTTTTCGGGGGTAAAGCGCGGTCGGGGCGTGATGCTGACCACTCAAAGTAACCTGCAGTGAACCTCAAAGAAGGAGGTAGCACATTCTTACAAGAGTCTGTAATGTTTACTACTCAAACAGTCTGATACCCAAAAGACCCTTTCATGAAAAATGGTGATTGCTATGTGTTTGGTAAAGGGAAATCAACAATCCATTCAAAAACAAGTTTAATTACTTGAAATAAAGAACAAATACAGGAAAAATTGCTTTTAAAAGTTTGTCAACCTAACATAAAAATGTAAAGACATGCATGAGAACAAATGTATGTGATAATCACCAGAGATGTATTGTTCTTTCTTCTGGTGTGTCTCCCATATCTTTGCAAGAAGACCCTGCCTTGGTCGAGGAGGTGCCAACTCAATTCCATCCAACCAGAGCACTTCTCGACTGACACCTTCATCTCTTCCCGGTTCTATAAGTACAAACAAGCTTCCCTCTATAAACAAAATCAAAAATCAATAATAAAAATCCTACTTCATTACTGGTGTAAAAATATGTAAATACTTATTTTCAGAACAGAAAGAAAATTAATTTGTTTGTAGAATAAAATTGCAATAAGACATCTGTCTTCTCGGTTGCTGCACTGCGTAGTCTGGTAGATGTTT